AAAGAGTGTAAAAGCCCATTCACTCAGACTTAATCTTATCTCTTGTCTTGCTGATAGGACTGTTTTCTTCGGAGTCTACAAGTGTTGGGGACCAGGAGCAGAGGCTGTGCGTGGAGTTTCATGGGCCCGAGAGTTAGATTTTCAATCGGCCCATCCATTTATCAGGAAGAGCTTCGTCAATGGCAGACACTGGATCGCCCCATCTGATGCTTAACTCACCAACCCCTTCCATAAAGTCTAAAAATATATTTTATTCTCTTCTCTCTTGCGCGTTGCATTCAAAACTCTAAAACCATTATTTCCTTCATTCATTTATTTCTTTGTCAATATAGGATTTCATTTGTTCCCCCCTTGTAGAGTGCCAGTCGTTCCATTCAGTATTCTTTGATCAACTCCAAATGTAAAAAATATATATATATACATACATTGTAATAATGGTTCAATCTTTTGTTTATAAATTTAATATATGAAATTCTTATGCTGTTTCAAAATGGTGTTGAGCTGAATATTGTTATCCTTACTCCAACTTCAACGTGGGGAAAGTAATGACACATATGACTGTATTTTATAATGTTAGTGAAGTCACAACAAAATAAATCAGTACCCTATCCTTCATGGCTTCTTCATTTGAAACAAGAAGCAGCATATGAAAGCATTTTACAATATGACTGTCATTTTATTTGCATGGAATATAGTTTGAAATGTCACACTTAATTGAAAGAGTAATTTTTAGATAATATATATGTGCCATATCAAGTTAGTGGATGCCTGTGTGCCTAATGTTAGTGACTGGTGACGACAAACCTAAAAAAGTTATCGGTAGTTTAATTCAGAAAACTTTAGAATAATAGTAACCTAGAAGAAGCCAAAGACACGGAATTGAGAGTATTTCTAATATAATTAAGCTTATTATAATAGAAATCTCACCTTTTGTTAAAGCATGGGCATAGCTTTTAATACTCAAGGTGTACTAAGATAAATATTATGTTACCTATTTTCCCTTTACCGCGACTTAAAAACTTTATTTTAAAGATCTTGCTTATATAACGAATATATTTGAACTCATTTTTCAACTATAACTCCGTCATTTTTTTTAATGATTTTTATAAAGACTGGTTAAATACAGTATTCGTACTTCATCTTTCTAAAGCTGCTCTACCTTGACGAAGAACTTTCTAAACTGTCCAGCATATTCAGAACATCATTGTTAAAAAGTTAAATAGTTATATATACTCGAGGAAAATAAAATCGAAGATACTTCTCATTCCCCCATTTTCTAATATTTAGCCACCAACAAAATTAGGTTACAAAAATATAACCATAATCTCCTTTCCCCTCACGATTGTATAAACATATTTGTATGATAAAATATAAACACGCCGAGGTAGTACATTAACCAAATGAATCAAATTATACTTGAGTTCCACCATAACCGTGCAAAATTCATCACCAAGTGATAAACACAATTATCATAGAACTGTAACGTCATTATTCACATTTTCACACAGCTCTAATGCTGTATAACCAAGTTGAAGAACATTGACAGCGCATTTCATCACTTCCTTTCCGACACACTTTTCTATTGAACGAAATTTCCGTAGATCCCACCCACTGTCGAGCATATTCCTCTTTCGGTGAATTGCATTTCCAAACCATTGAAATTCACATAAATTTCAGCCAAGTGGAGATAATACGGTTGAAAGAATGTTACGTTCACTTCTCTAACTCAGTTTCATAAACAACAAACATTGCTTATTGCAAACCTAAACCCATCAACGGAAAGGAAACAAATTTGATGCACTCCTGGATATCGCTGAAAGACTAAAAAAGGGGTGCAATGTTGAGGCCATTGATGAATTCTGAATATAGAGAAACAGAAAGGTCGTATAATTTAAAAAAGATTCATAGGAGAACCAAATAAGGACATAGGTTGAGATTTGAGGCGTAGATATGAAAAACTACTATGGGCATCCAATATAGGGTTAGTCTGCTTCTCAACCTTGCTGTAGACACAGGGGATGATATAACATTCCAAACAGCTAGAAACTCAAAATTCATAATTTTATCTAAGTATGTGCAAATGCAACATTCTCAAAGGCAGAACTCACCTGGTCATGCATGTCTTGAATGGGCACAGAATCATAAACGCACTTACTTGGTAAGAACATCACCCTAAAGTAACATAAGTCTTTTGCTTGAACAACATCAATGTAATTACTTTCCCCTATTGAACCGAGCAATGAACTGATTGATATATAGGATTAGAATTGCATGCCAAAATTCTAGTTTGATATAAAGCTAACAAAAAATCCGTTCACAGAAAACAATCAAAACATACAAATGATAAAACAAGAAAGATAAATCAATTATAGAGTAGTAACATATTCTTCAAGCCTCAGCCTCACTTCTCAGATGAGTTGGGTCCTCTCTTCTTGCCGAATCCCACCACTACAACAACGCAAACCAAAACCCTCGTTAGAGACTGCACAATTACTTCTTCAAAATTATCCAATCGCATAAAAGGAAAACGAAACCAAAATTAGGGTTTAGAGGAATACCGGCGGTGACGAATCGGCGATTGTACTGCATCCTCTTGTGAGCGCGGCCACGTGGCTTCTTCTTCTTGTCCTGCTTGGCCACTTTGGGGGTTTGGCCCCTGACTTTACCGGCACGTGCGAGTGATCCGTGAACCTTACCTGCAAATTGCATTACACATATTATTCATTCTGCACATGAGAGAAACACTTGATGAATCCGAAATAATCCAACTTACCCATCACTGCGACGATGAATTTTTCTGCTAATTACTCTCCTATCGCTTCGATCACTTGCTTCAGCCGCAGGTACCGACGGAGATGGCGAATAAGTTGTGGTATTAGTATTGCTAGGGTTTATGGTTAGGGTTACGGGCTCAAATATCCAAAGTAGATGGGCCTCGCCTTAGCTTTCTTTGGTCCAAATCATGTCTAAGTTACAACCCTCAACCCACTTTACTATACAAATAAACAAGTAATGACGTTTATATAATAATATTATTATTTAAAATATTTTTAATTTTTTTTCTTATGATTTTGCATTGGTTTAGTTTCTATGTAACATTTTTACCTTTATTAAAAATAATAATTAAATATTTTTACAACGATTAAATAATTTATTTAATCATTTCAGTTAGGCTTCAATTTTTAATCATATTATAAAAAAGTAAAACTTGATAGCAAAATAATAAAATAATCATTTAAATTTGTATGTCTGATTATAATCATTTTAATTAATTTATTTATGCCTGTTTATAATTAAAATTTCAATTTTTTTGTATACGTGTAGATTATATTAACTGTGATTAATTTTTACCTTTAAAATTAATAACTATTAATATAAATTATTAGCATATAATATTTGAATGGCTAAGATTAAAAAGAAAAATTTTGAACCATTAAATTAATCATCAACCCCTATATATACATAAATCTCTATTTTACATGAAAGTGTTTTTAAGAATTTTTTTTTATGAAAAAATTTGTAAGAATTTTTTTAACTTCTTTTCTAATTTAATTTTTATTTATCATAATTATCATGAATTAAATATTAATATTTAAAAATAATTTATCAATAAATAAAATAAATTTTTGTTACAATATAAATTAATTATTATAAAAAATATAAAATATAATTATATATTTTAAATATCTATTTATATATAAATTTTAAATATAATTTATATATTCAAATATAATATTTATATATAATTTTAATTATGTATAATAAATATGCATGTGGATTAGTTAAGATACTAATTATTATATAATCATGAATGATTATATAGTCTAAATTGATAGTCTTTATTTAGTTTTCATTTGATATGTTATATATGTATATGCACAGAAATCTTTTTATTATATATAACTATAATTTATAATAAATTATATATAAAAAATTATATTTAAATATATAAATTATATTATATTTAATTATTTTATAAATATATATTTTAAAAAAATATTTTTAAAATTGTAATAAATTATTTATATTGTGATACGAGTTATTTTAATAATAGATAATTTATTTTAAAATATTAAAATTTAACTTTGAAATAAATATAATAAATATAAATTGAAGTAGATAAGAAGTTATAAAATCTTAAAAATTATTTCATTGAGGTAATACTCTCTAAAAATATTCTCGAGAGAAATCACAAGAAAATTATTTATATTTATATATGTAATGGTGGATAAGGGAAGGGATTAAAATTATTTGTCAAATAATTTTGACTTCCCTCTCCAAAATGAGAAAATTTAGAGTTGTTTTTTTTACATTAATTGGACTATATCATTTTCAATTTTATAAATTTATTTGATATTTTAAATATATAATAATACATGTGAAATTTTGTTTTTGTTTGTTCTTTCTTTATGAATCAAATAAAGCATGCATTTATTCTATAAGAATCCTTTAGTTTTTTTCCTTTGGCACAATAAATACATTAATTGGCGATTAAGTTTAACCTATACCCCTATAAAAAAAATAATAAAAGCTTGAATTTCTTTTTTTAATTGTAATTTTTTAACATAATTAATTGTCAATAAGATAGTATTCCTATGTTAACTATATATATATATATATATATATATATATATATATAAAAAAGATGACTATCAAATAAAATTTTTGAAGTTAAATTAAGCTCAACGTAAATTTTATAATATTATAAATCATCAATTATTGTTTATCCTATGAACCTACTAATTAATTTGCCATTATCGAACAATTGAAAATATACAATCTTAATAATTTAACATTCAAAATATTAAATCCTTTAACCATGACTAAAATAGTAAATATAAGTTAAAATTGATATCACCTTATGAACTAATTGTTAGTGTTGAATTAAATTTAAATTCAAATTATATGATATTATAAGAGTGTATTCTAATATTGGTTATTAAATTTATCGAGTTACCCACTAATTGTGAACAAATTTTAGAATTATACCAGATTTGGACTCAAATTTTAAAATGATATCAAAAACACATTCTAATTGTTGTTGCCCCATCATATTGTCATATATATATATATATATATATGTCCAAAGTAATAAAAATTGCTTCCAAATAAGGTTGAAGACCACGATTCAGAAATTTAATATTATTTAGTCACTCATAAATATAACAATTACAAAAGGTACTATTCTTTGTTGTACCACACCAGTTCCATAATCCTGAGATGTGTCAACTCCCTTGACATTTAAAACAAAAACATCGCCTACTATCAAGTGAGCCAACCACATTTAATCATACATCATAAATTTGGGATATGGGGACTTAAAAACTACGACTAAACGACCATTGTGGGACAGTTTTACAAACTTATTATCAAAATGGGGCTGTTTTGAAACATTTTACACCTTTGGGGCTATTTTATTGGGTGTCGCTATGGGCCATAGCGACACCCATGACACGTGGCATTTTTTTATTTTTGGCTTGGTTGGGCTGAAACAGTGTCGCTATAGGCTAACCCACAACACCTGATGGGCTTAAAAAAATCATGTAGCCCATAGCGACACTAGGTAAAAAAAAAAATAATAATAAGGAAAATAATCATAATGTAAAATAAATATAATAAAGTGAATTATTTATTATAAAATTATAAAAAGAAAATTAAGTTTTAAAAAAACGTAATTTTAAAATAAATAAAATGTATTTTTTTAACACAGGCGCTGTGGTCCATAGCGCCTGAGTGGAGCTATGGGCCATAGCGCCCCAATTAAAATATTTTTTTTTTGTTTTTAAATTATTTTTTACATTTTATTACTTATTTTTTAAAATTATTTTTTCTTATTTAAATTATTTTTTTCCTTTTTATCCGTAAGTTTTTTTTATAAATTTCTAAATAAATTTAATATTTAAAAAATATTAGCTAGATTTTTATAACGTTAATATTTAATATTTAAAATTTAATAATTAAAACGTTAAAATTATTATTAACGTAAACATAAAATAAATTTAAAATATTTAATAAAATAAAATTATAAAAAAAAAAAAAAAAGACAAGAGAAACTTACGAAAGTGAAAGGAGGCGCTAGGGGCCCTCGCGCCTGTGAGGCGCTATGGGCCCTAACGACCCCGTTTTAATATTTTTTTTTTTGTTTTTATTTTTTCTCATATTATATTACTTTTTTTTTTTAAATTTTCATTTTTTCTTATTTCACTTCTTTTTTCCGCTTTTTTATGGGAAATTATTTTTAATTAATTTATCATATTTTATTTTTATAAGATATTTTACCTATTTTCCACTTTTTTTAATAATTTCTTAATATATTAATTAAAAAATATTAAACGAAAAATACATAATTAAAAAAATGAAATAAAAAATTAAGGCAGTGTGACACTGCCAATTCTCTCTATATATTATTTTTTTCGTTTTTAATTTTTTATTGCATTATATTATTTATTTTTTGAAATTTATATTTATATAAATTACAGTTCTATTTTTCTCTTTTACTACTATTTTTTTATAATTTTTTAATTACGTTTTAATATTTAAAAACAATATTTAAATTTATTTATTGTTTTTATTATATTTCTTAATCAATTAAATCATTTTAAAAGTTAAATATACTTAATCTTAAATAAATATAAATTACACATAAATTAATTATATCATTTTATAATTTAATTATAATTATGTTTTAAATAAATAAAAATTACACACAAATCATTTTATCAATTTAAAATTTAAATGTATTTATTATTTAAATTAATATCAATATACTGCAATAAATTAAATCAATTAACAATTTAAGTATAATAAATTTTCATATATATATATAACTGAAGGAGGCGCTATGGGCCTCGACGCCTGTAAGGCGCTACGAGCCCTGGCGCTCCGTTCTTATATTTTTTTTTTTTGGTTTTTATTATTTTTTTCCACATTATTTTACTTTTTTTTTATATTTATATTTTTTCTTATTTCAGTTCTTTTTTTTCGCTTTTTTATCCGAAATTTTTTTTAAATTAATTTATCAATTTTTATATTTATCAATTTTTTAATACAGGCGCTGTGGCCCATAGCGCTTGAGTGGAGCTATGGGCCATAGCGCCCCAAATAATTTTTTTTTTGTTTTTTAATTATTTTTTACATTTTATTACTTATTTTTTAAAATTAATATTTTTTTCTTATTTCAATCTTTTTTTTCCCTTTTACCCGTTATTTTTTTATAAATTTGTAAAAAAAAATTTAAATTTTAAAAATATAAGATATATTTTAAAAATATTAGATATATTTTTAACACAGGCGTTGTGGCCCATAGCGCCTGAGTGGAGCTATGGGCTATAGCGCCCCAAATAATTATTATTTTTTTTCGTTTTTAGCCGATTTGAGTCGCTATAGGCTATAGCGACTCTTTGAAGGTCTCCACCAGCTACAGCGACTCTATCAATATGGCGTTCATGGCTCATATTCAGACCCAAAAATGCCACGTGTCATGGGTGTCGCTATAGGCCATAGCGACACCCAATAAAAGAGCCCCAAAGGTATAAAATGTTTCAAAACAGCCCCATTTTGATAATAAATTTGTAAAACTGCCCCAATGGTCGTTTAGCCAAAAACTACTGAAAAGAGTGAGGGAAGAGAAGGGATAGATATCTGTTTCGGTGTGAACCCCATCTCGTGTTCCACTGTTCTGTACATCCAGAGAAATGCTGCAGAAACAGAAAGTCCCAACTATTCTGATGATAAAAAACAAAATTTGATATTTACAGCTTGAGCATCTGCTCAAAGTACAACCTCTTTAAGATCTTCTCCAAAACTGCTACTTTTCACCCGTGTACGCATTAAAGATTCTTTGGGCATAAGTCTTGAAGGTGGCATGCCCGAAGCTACCCCCTAATGGCTTACACTGTGTTTGGTAGAAAAGAATAAAAAAATGAAGGGAAAAAAGGTAAAGAGAAAGAAAATGTGAAATATATGAAAATAGGTTAATATATATATATATATATATATATATATATAT